AGAAAAGTGGTGACAACGAACTATAAATATGAGCCACATAACAACTGCCCCAAAAGATAGATAAACGATTATTATACTTGGCCAATAAAACAGATTGTCTGTTCAAAGAACTATGAATATGAACAAATTTTAGCTCACTAAACACTTTCTCCAAAGTCACAACATTTTCAACCCCATTTAATGATTTCAAGGGAGATTCATCAATAAAACAAATTGTCTGTTCAAAAAACTAGGAATATGAACAAATTTCAGCTCACTAAACATTTTCTCCAAAGTCACAACATTTTCAACCCCATTTAATGATTTCGAGGGAGATTCATCAATTAATTGAGAGATTTTGTCAATTATGGCATTCTTATTTATGATTTGAAGGGAAATAATTGTCTCCAAAGTTGCATTATTCTACACCATGATAGGTAAAGAAAGATTAGGCAAATTCCCAAAATCATGTTGGTCACGGATCTCAATACAATTAATATTGATAGCCTCCACAGATTCCAAAATGGTGTTTTAGCCAACTGCTACTGCACCTCCGTTGTCACCCACCTTCTGCTCATTATTTATCTTTGCCTCTGAACCATAGAAGTTCTCTGAACCAGAATGCAACGAAAGTGAATAATCATCCCAAGAGATCGTAGGCATTAACCCTCTCCAATTTTGTGCTTGATAACTCTTCAAAACACCTCGGTGACGAAACTATGGACCATACACAACAATGTTATGAGTTTGATTTTGTCAACCGCAACAACATTATCAGCATCCAACGGGGAGATCTCCAACATCTCACCATTGCCCGCCATCATAGAAACTAGTAGGAAAGAAGGATCCTCTTCAAAAGTCGCCTCTACAATAGCAAGATAGATCCCTATAATATCTTAGTCCATGCTACTTACTACTTGAAAAAAATCACRGAAAAACTGTAACAAAGTAGAGAGGAACGTCCTCTGAAAAAAGCTCAGCCAGAGGACTGAGTGAAAACACACACCCTTCACGGGGAGGAGAAAGAGAGGAGGGGAGTCGGCTACTAGCCACCCCTTGCTACTTTTTTCGCTCTTCTTTGAAAAAACTCATTCTTTGGGATGAGAGAAAACCCAACTCTACGGCTTAAAAAATGTAGATATTATTATAATTTTTTTTTTGAAAGGGACTTTGTTTTTTTTTTGTTCAAAGAGACTTAATTCGGGATTTAAATCCCTAGATATAGCATAAAATTATTTTATATCTTAAAGCTATGTTTAAATTGGTATTTATTAGTCTAATTGATCAATGCCCTATTTAACCCGTCACATCCATATACTTTAAATATTTCCAAAGTCACTATATTTTTCAAATTAATACGTACACAATTTCAAGAAGATAAACTCTCTTTTYAGATAATAAAAAACTATTAAAAATATATTGCCATGTTAATACACAGGATCGAAAGACACRTTGTCCATCTCTTACACAATAATTATGATYAAAATAATTATTTTTTTAAAGTTTAGGGATTAAAATAAATATTTCAAACAGTTTAGAGATGAAAGTAATTTTATTAAAAAAAATCTAATAACTAAAATAGATATTTTAAAAATTTTAAGGACCAAAAAATAACTTAATAGTTGAGGGCAAAAAAAAGAAAAATTACACGTTGAGCCTAAATTTAAAATCTGTTTAAATCTTATTTTGATCTGTAAATTTTCAAAATATTTATTTATATCTAATCTTTGAATTAAAATTTTTTTTTATCCACCAACTTGAGCATGACATCAACCAACATGTGGTGTGGTGAGTTCGATAAACCAAAGAAAATTAGACATTTTTGAAAATTTGGGCGAAAATGAAATTTAAACTTTATTTTTTATTTTTTAATTGAACAAAGCACATTTTAAAATGTTATTAAAAGAATATTTCAAACACAAAAAAAGTATAGAAGAATATAGTGGACTTTTCAAAGGCTTTCATATCAAGAAAGAAAGTTAATAAAAAAAAAAAAGTGATTGGTGGAATGGTAGATTCTAGAAAGTCATAGACAATTCCAAGGGCCAATTTATTTACTAATAAATTCGATTCGCTTAACAATTTCCATTCTACGTTCTACATTTACTTGTTCTCCAGCCAAGAACAGACGCGCCGGCTTTCCCCGCTACACCTTCTTCGGGTTCGTCTCCTCTCTTTCGGATGAATTTTCTTTGTTCTTTTCTTGCATTCCACCTCTTGATTTCGAATTCGTTTTTTTTCTCCTCTTAATTTTTTTGGAATTATCTGTAAATTTTCAATTAATTTAGAATCCTGGAGTTTGTGAGGGAATTGAAATTTTCGACGATGGGATTCTTTAGAACATTATTGTTTGGTAGATTGCAATGCGGACCTTTTTCTTGTATTTGCGCTGTATTTTGGAGGAAGCCTGTGACATGGACGATATTTTTCAGTTTTTCGATGTCTTGATAATGTGTCGGGGGAGATCTGTCTCGATGCGTCGATTTCTTTGAACTATTCTATCATGCGCGATCTATTTGTGTGTTGTGATTTGTTTTTATTTGGCTGTTTACTCGACGAGATGGTGTTGATGTGCGTTTTCTTTCTCCTGATACTGAAATCTTACCGTTTTTGTTGTGATTTCCGTAGGTCATCGGTTTCTTATTGTCGGTGATCTGCTTCCTGAGCAAATAAGGATAATTACTGTTTATCAAACTTTGAGTCATGGCTGAGGTAAGGTTTTTTTTTTCCTCCAAGGCTTGATAATGTTTGAACTCCTTCCCACATTTCTTTCTTGGGCGGAGCCAAGAAGTAGTTTGCCTTAGATTCTAATAGAAAATGTATACGAATATTAAGATTTTAAAGTTTTTTCCTCTAGTTTGCCTTTAGTTTCTGGAATTGGAAGATATACAAGTTGGAATGTAAAAATTTGTCATTCCTTATATAAATTCCTGGCTCCGTCTTGAAGCTGATTCGTTTATATTTGCTTGAAATTGTGGAATGTGTGGCAGGAGGGTCACAAGGTCACCTTGAATGTTTATGATTTGAGCCAAGGTCTAGCGCGACAGCTTTCCACRGCATTCCTTGGGAGACCAATCGAGGCCATATGGTAAGCCGTTACCCCATCATGGTTAGCAGACAAAATATTGTAGCCTATTTATAATTCTGGTTCTATCATTAATGTTTTCTGCTAAATGTTTGTAATGATGCTTGCTGATGAATTAGTACTTACAAAATACCTAACCTATCTTTCCAATAGTTAGCGAAGTTGGATATTTTTGCTGAATATTGACAAGCTCTAGTATGGGTTTCTTTTAATAATTTTAGAGCATATTTTATATAGCTTTTTGCTACCACGTTATTCAATTATCTTTATTCTTTATTATCTTTGGACAATTATGAACATACACGAATCCTGGTTCTTGTTCTCTTTTGTTTCTAACTACTATAACTTTGATATTAGTACACAAAAATCTGGCAGTAGGACAAATGTGAATTTAGAAAGTATCTTAAGGGTTTTTCATATAAACTCTTTTAATTATGCGTTTGGTTATGTTTTCTTAAGAGTGTTCTAAAAAGCAWTTTTGTTTGGTTGCACTACATTTCAAAGCAATTCTGTTACGTTGATCACGAATGTATTCGACACTTTTCGTATTGAAGATCTGGGATTAGAAACTAAATTTTCCTACATCTTGAACATTGTTGATTTATTTCCAAATCTCAATTCTAATGAGCTGTGAACCTTCTGCGGTTTGCTGTAATGCATGCGAATAACACAGTTTACTCCTTTGGCACTTTATTATTATACAAGCCTCATTTGATAATTGATAGAAATTTAAATTGCAAAAATCTAGAAAACTCTCCCACTTTTGGATCGAGAGGGTTCTGATTGGACAATTGACTTTGAAAGATGTGGTCAAATTTTCAATTGCTTTTTTTGGTATATGATAAATAGGCACACAGGAATTGTTGTGTATGGCAACGAATATTATTTTGGAGGAGGTATTCAACATGATCCCGCTGGAAGTACTCCATATGGAAAACCGATGCGGGTGATAGATCTAGGAAYGACGCACGTTCCCAAAGATGTTTTTGAGATGTACTTGCAGGAAATCGGCCCTCGCTATACAGCCGAAACCTATAGTTTGCTCTCACATAATTGCAACAACTTCAGTAATGAAGTTGCACAGTTTTTGGTTGGTGCAACCATTCCTGATTACATTCTTGACCTCCCTAATGCAGTTATGAGCAGTCCTATGGGTGCCCTCATTAGTAAGTAACTAGTAACCACGCTTTCATTTTTTTCAATTGGGTCGTTTTTTTGTATTCGCTTAACACATATCATTTCTGCTCCAGTGCCCATGATTCAGAATCTGGAAACTACATTGAAGGCAGGTGCGGTTCCGATGGCACCACAGTTCCATCCTGCTTCAGCGGTTCAGCCAGCTCCAACAGCTAGCATCCCTAGATCGTCATCAGGGTCGTCACCTACCTCTACGACTCAGGTGGTTGTCGAAGCAAAGTCTGAGTCCAGCCGTAGTCCATCAGGTAAAAAGGAAGATGATGCCAAGCCACTTAAGAAGTCAACACCTGCAGGACCATTGAATACAAATGGGACTGCTGACCCGCTCGGGGATGCTCGTAGCAAAGTGCAGGAAGAAATCGGCCGAGAATTTGCGGCGATCATGGCAACGGGGACCCTGCGAGCAAGCGAAGCAGCAGCACTGGCAACAAAAAGAGTGATGCAGAAGTATGGGCATGCAACCCTATCACAGGGCTAGTGATTCATTTTAATTTTATACGTTTGCGGAGGAGAGGGATGTATCTCATGGGTTTAAAAGTTAAGAAACCATGCGATTTAAATCAAGTTCCATTCTATTAATGGTACTTGAAGAACTTTGGGTGGAGTCGTTTACCAAATATGAACTTGGAAGTCGGAACCCTTTGCATATGGAAATCTGATTTGTGATTTCTATGAATATATAGTTTTTCGAGGATTTTAACTCAAGTCCCTAAATTTTAGACGAAGAATTAGGCCTAAGAGAGAGGAGAGAAAAAAAAAAAAAACTACTAACAAGAATTTCCCATGGGTTCAATCGATATTTGTATTATTTGATATTATATTAAAGAACTAATAATAATAAATTTTATGATTGATGGCTAATTTTTTTAATACAATTATTATATTTTATTATAGAAAAAAAATATTTAGAATCGCAATTATTATACTTAATTATAGCCAGAGAAGGCTAGATCTAGCTTACATGCCACCTTTAGTCACCTTTAGTCGAGCTCCGAAGGTCGGTCGCAGCGATTAAAATATATAATTTTAAATTAAACCCAATTAGTCTCTTAGGCAGGATATTAAATTTTCTCGACATTTACATAAACGGTAAATCAACATTTTCATATTATTAAAAAAAAACACAATTTATGAAAAATATCAACAAAATGTTACTATATACACAATCATTTTCAACTTATTTAAAAATATGAAATATTTATTTACTAGCGTAAATATTTCTTACCAATCTTTTATTTTTCAACATTTTATAAAATATCCATARATATTCACATTTTCATGAAATTAAGGTTTTGAAATTTTCATGGATATCTATTTAAACCTTCCTAATTCACCATTATTGTCTAAAAGTTGACACATAGATAACCAATCGAGTGATCGACCATTTTTTTTTAATTGACAAAAAAAGAAAAACAAAAAACCTTGAAATTTGACCTTATTATTATTAATAAATTAATAATTACCATTAGTATTAGTATTGTTTTAAGCAATGTCAATGTCAAAAAAGGAAAAAAAAAGGGATTGTTCTTGTTCTTGGCCCTTGGGTTGATAATACCAATCAATCAAATCATCTTTGGCATTGGACAGGAAAGGAAAGGAAGCATTACAGATTTTGATTTTGGTTAGTTTTCCGTAGAGAGTAAGTACAGGTCGCCATTTCCATTTGATTATCTTCTGTTATTAATTACATGTTTCTCTCTCTCCACCGCCCTATCTTCTCTCTCTTCCGATTTTCGTCCCAATTTTGCCGAAGATTCATCTCCCTCACCTTCTCCACAAGCTCCTCAATGGCGGATGATCAGTTGCTGGACGACGTCGACTGCAACGACGTTCCTCACGCATTTCTCTGCTGCGTCTGCTTGTCGGTTCTCTCTCTTTCTTGGAATACTTGCAGTTGCAGTCGTTTATTTCAAAAGTTTTTGTAATTGTAATTTCTCTTGTGTGAAGTTTCGTATTCTAAGGTTTGGATATGTGTATGTGTGTGTCCCGTTTTGTTTTTATGTTCTATCGGTGAGGTTGGAAATTAGAATCATCGTTTGTCTCCTGACTCCTATGGTGCACAATAGCTACCCTGGTTTGATGATTTAGTTGCTTGCTGATTTCCATGGCTGGAGGACCGAGCTTGGCAAACGCAAATGATAAGAATTGATTGTTTCTTTCCGTCCATAAGCACAATATGACCAATTGAACCCATAGAGTCTCCTTATCTTTTTTTCAATGGATGGCCGTGGCCCACTAAGAGAACTGGAAGCATGAGTTGGATGTTGTTTGTTAAGGGAATTTGCCAGCAATAAGATGATAAGAGACAAGTCCAGAATTTGTAGGCGAAATAGTGACCCTGTGATTCGAAACTTCTCAGGCACATCATGCAGCAACTTGAGGATATGGCTAAGGAGGGGAGCCTTATTTTCTTTGTAATACATTTTCAGTACCGATACTATGGTGGCTTAGCTCCCAAAAGGAGAATTTAGCCTTGTCGTGATATTTATCCCTGCAAATCTTGCTGTAGAGTGCTGCGTTTTGATCCTTATTTAGGTGAGTGAGCTCCTTAGCAGAGGATTTAACTGGGAAGACATTTGTGGGGTCCGTCTTGCCAAGTCCATGTGTCATGCAAGGTATTCGAAGTGACCCACCCGTGAGAGCTTGTGGGAGAGAGAGAACCAATCAGTGACTTCATCTTGTAAACATCTATGGAATCTAATCCCAGGATAGGGAAAGTGGGGGCCAATTATATTTGGCTGTAACTGTCTTAGAGGAAGCTAGAAAGTAAAGCCTCGAC